TCTCCTGCATATGGCTTGCTCATGCACCTGGCAGGAGAGACAGAAACAAGAAGCTGCTGCACGTCTCTGGAGGATATGGGAGAGGTGAGGGAAGAGACAGGACACAGCATGTTTAGATGACTCTCAGATAAGGATGGTGGTAGCATTAACAGGTTGAGAGCACAGCTTTCTTTTCCTTGCTAGTTGCACTTATTCATGGCACATGTGTGTGACACAGGTACCAAGGCAAAGAAACCTGTGCAAGGAAAAAAAAACATCCTCACCAAAACCCAAGCTATTTCAAACTGCCACAGCTGTGAATATGGAAGAGACAATAGTGAGAGGCGGGGCACAGGTCTAAACCACTCAACTGTCATGGAAAGTTTTGTGGGTATTAATGGCCATAATATCTGGACTGGTTTTTGTTTGCTTGTTTTCCAAAAACCAGTCTCATGAGTAAGTTGATCATCATCACCATCCCTACTGCCTTTAGGTTGCCCCAGGGTATGTAACACTATCTGCTGAAATCCTAATACTGTAATAAAAAGCCTTCTGCTAAGAGATGACATTGGAATCTTACTAAAATAAAAATAGAACTAAACAGAGCAAAACATTTTTTTTCCATGCACATAGTCAATAGGTAGTAGAAAAAAAATCCTGTAAAATCTTCCTAATAATGGCTGTATTTTATTTTATTTTATTTTATTTTATTTTATTTTATTTTATTTTATTTTATTTTATTTTATTTTATTTTATTTTATTTTATTTTATTTTATTTTATTTTATTTTATTTTATTTTATTTTATTTTATTTTATTTATTATCTGCTGCATAGGTAGCTTTGTTTCCCACTAGTCTTGTCCCATCAGTCAGTCTGAGCTCTATCTTTATCATGTTTCTACCAGGAGCTGGTTCCACAGTAATGTCGCCAGACAAGCCTAAAAATTTACAAAAATTTTGCTTTCAAATTAGGAAGAGGGACCTGGCTTCTGGATCCAGAAATGTGACTTCTGATGTGTCTAAAAATAGTTACTTGGAAGAGTAATCTTAGCCAAATTAAAAAAAGAAAATTACGTTGTGGCCTTGAAAAGTAGGTGGCTGCACCCCTCTGTCCCAGGACTGTGTAATTTTGGCTCTGGATGTGGGCTCTGACAGCTGTGGTGAGAGATGAGCACATGGGGGCCAGCACGGGCTTGGCAAACAGGCTGTGCTTACAGCCCTGGCTCCTCCTTGGGTACTAAAGGAAGGGCTGCAATAGGGATATAATGAAGCATGGCATTTCCTGAGTTCTTTCCAATACTTACAGTGCTTTTAATTTGTGCTGTTTTGTTGCGTTGGGGAGAAGGGGAGGGAAGGCAGGTGCATTGTACATACTGAAGTTTGGAGATTCTGCCCTTTCTGTAGAGTTGTGATGTTCTCTTTCACAAATGGTATGTAAAGAAATGCTGCAAGACCTTTCTGAAACATCTCTAACTGCCCCCCTCTTCTGGGCTTTGTCCTTGGATTAGCCCTAGAAGGTTGTGCTTCTGCAACAAGACATTACCTTAGCAGTGGGCTCAAATAACTGGTGTCATAAACCTCACCCACAGCCAGCTACCAACCAAGTTTCTGCCAGATCTCTGCAGGTGTTAAGCAGATGTGGATCCCACACAGGCACATCTCCCTGTCGGGGATCGTTTGCTTTTTATTTGAAACTGTCATTACAGCGGATCTTGTGATAGGAGCCATTTGTAGCCCAGGTAGTATAACTTGATTAATGGGATCAAATAATTGCTATTTTTGCAGTCATTTGAACCAGTGAAATCAAATCAGTTTCCTCTGGAGAGCAGGATGTGCCTAGGAGATAAAACCCTGTGCTTGCTGCTCAGGGTCCAGAGCCAGTGGCTTCTCTCTCTACCAGCATCTCTGGCAGGAGGAGCTGTCAGGGCTCCCCAGAGTTGTTTTGTAAGCATGTCACAAGATTGTTCCTTCAGCTGGCAGCCTGTGTTTATGTTGATTCAAAGCTTACAAAAGCATTTCCCAAGGCTAGCTCCAGATTTGATGTGTTGTCTTAGAGCTATGAACACTGGTTTGCTTTCAGTGATTTTGCCTTTCATTCTCTCTTTGCAGCTGTTATCTTAATAGCAACTTAAAGTGACTTCTCTTAAACAGTAACCCAAGCTCCTTGTTATACAGCCATGCTTGGGTATTATTTAATTAAATGAGGTGAAAATCCAAAATGAGCACAGTTAAAAAACATTTAAAGTGGAATTTTCACTCACTTAGAATCCAAGATAGGCAGGAAAGAAAGAAAGAAATGAAGTAGGAAACTGATGAAAATAGGAATTAATAGGAATTAAGTAGGAAATAATGACATACAATTAGTGGCAGCTGTTTTTGTGGGGTTTTTAAGCTTGTGGACACTCTTTCCACACAGTTGCCTGATTTTATCTAGTGTTAACTGCTAAGGAAAAATCAGTTTCAAGACGTGAAGGACGCGAGCACATCAATTAAATGAGCAGCATTATTGGATCACAGATCACTGTTGTACCAGGTTAATTGGCAAGCAAGGAAGTAAACTGAGTAGTAAATTGAACACTGACAAAGCTACTTTCCTTTTTGAGTATTGGCTTCCTTTTCATTTCTTTCAGAAAAAGAAATTTACAGGTCACAAATGGCTAATGTATAATGTTCTACAACAAGTAAATATATATACACTATATATGGGTCAAATTTCCCTTCAAGTCTAAGCATTAGAAATGAGAGGAGACTATTATGCAGCTTTTGTTTACAAGAGCTTACTGTTTCAACTCACTAAAAATGGCTTCATACATCCTCCATGTAGATGCAAATGTATAAAACCTAAAATGTTAGTGGCCAAACCCTTGGAAGCCTCTGTTCACATGCACTGTTTATGAAGGCTAGATCTGAGCTCAAACTCACAACAAGCAGTGAGAGTTTGGTAGCACAGGTAGCAACAGGTCCCTGTTGCTGTGGCGTGGTGGTGGGATAGGCAACCAGCAGGTGGATTTTCTTTCACCATGTGACCCACCACAGTTCTGGAATGCATCAATGTCCTGCACAGACAACCATGGCAGAAAAACCCATATACCACGTGTAGCTATAAAGCCTCCATTGCCTTTATGCATAAACTTTTTTCCCAATATCCCATTGGTGCTTTCCTTAGAGGTGACTTTTGCCCCCTCTTTGTACTACTTGCAATTCCCTTTGGGGTAATTTAGCTGTCTCTTTTAGTGTGTGTGTTTTGGAGAGGGGAAGTCCCTGCTGGCGTTCAAGGCCATGTTGTATCCCCACTACCGTTGGCTCATTCCTGTACAGAGCCAAAAATATTTAACTGATGAATCATCAAGAAAACACAAAGGAATTATAAATACAAAAACTAGTGTTGCCTTTGACAGTAGGAAAAAATAGAAATCACATTTTCTCCCATTCAGTAAGGCACTGAGTTTTTCACTGCTGCTCATGGGGCTTCACCTTTGCCTTCTCTCGTACTCTTCTTCTCCCTGCTTCAAAATGTCCACAGAGAGATACAGCCAGAAAGGCTCTGCTGCTGTGTGCTGTCTCCTGGCTGCTTTCATCCTTGATAAAGCAAAGCTTTAAACAGCATTTTATCCATAAATTTGGAAGTTAAACTGGAGGGGAGGGGTGGGAGAATGCTGCAACTGCAGCCAAAGGGCGGCTGAGTAATTTGCCTGAAAACCAGCCCAATATGGTTTCATCCAAAGTTTTCAAACTCTTACACAAGAAAAAGAAGTAGAGCCATAGCAACTGCAAAAAGTGTCATGTATACATAATTACCAAGAGGCACAAGTAAATATTCATGTGGCCTTTCCAGTATATCTGATTTCTTTTCTGAGCAATAACAAGTGAAGGATTAGCCATTATCAAGATCTAAAGACATATTTTATGCAGAAAGAATGAATTATTCATCAGAAATACCTGTATAATAAACAGCATAAGGTGCTACTTTGGAGGATTTCCATGTCTGTTATTAGGGGAAAGCCTTTTGAACATTTATTAAACACAATGGGAAATGGGATTATGACTGTAAAATACCTGCACAAGGATCTGGATTGTATGGGAACATTTTAGGGCTGAATAAACATTTGGATAAGATTCCAGTTGAAGTCCTCCAAGGCCTGAGGGAGTATGCAGTCCATAACATGTGTTGGAATGTATCTTCCACCAAAGAAACCACATCCGTGCCAGTGGCTTGGGAATGGCCTGCAGGGGACACAGCTGTCACCCCTGGGTCCCTGTTTATGTTCCCTGAATGGAGGCTGAGAGATATTTCTCAGGCACAAAGGCGTTCGCCCAGATCATGGCAAAAAGTAGATTTCAGCAATGAAAATATTCAGATCCTGTTACTAGCCCCAAAAGGATTTTTTTCCAGGTCAAAAAGCTTTCAATTTTATTTATTTCCCTGTGGCACTTACTCCTCCCCCATGTGAAGAGCCATATAAGAGCTGGTGGGTAAGCCATTACCAGACCCCTGGTAAATATTGCTTGTAGTAGACACACGGTTAATTACCATGTAATAATTTCTTAACTTTCCATTAAATATTTCTAGCAGCTATTGACCTTGCCAAAAATCTCTCCTTTTACCCTCAGAGATAAAATCAGCACCAGTTTCAAGGCTACAGAGTTAAGAAAATTCTAAGAACCAAAATTATAATACTTAACATACTTCTAATTTGGCCTGGTTCAACAGCTCTCCAAGGTAGAAAGTGTAACTATAGCAAATAGCAGAAACAGAACTAATTACTTATTTTAGAATTAATAACTTGTGACATAGATTATGAGTCATTTCCTTACAGAACTGAATGTTTTTACTCATCAAATATGCTCATGGAGTGATTATCTTGAAGACAGGGAGGCTTTTTTTTCCAGAACAAGTTTAAAGAGACATTAATATCTTGTAAGACCAAGTCTCAGATGATTCACTGATAAATCATTACAGCCACTTAGAGAATGAAGTTTGTGTAACATAACTGTAGCTAACAAACTGCATCACAACAGAGGAAAAGAAAAACAACAGAAAATATTTATTGACAGAATAAGTGCATCATATAATATCTTAACAGACCAAAGGTTTGCATTTATTTTCTCAAATGGCTTGTCATTTTGCACAGTTTAAAATATTCTAAAGTTTTCTGTCAGTCTTAAAAAAGTAAAGAGTATGAAAGAATCCTCAATGCTATTTCTGAAGGTTTTTAATCTAAATGTTCTCACACTTGGAGCAAAAGACTGGTGCAAAGGGGACCAAAATATACTTCCAAATCCTTTGAGATTAGAGTGAAATTTTAAGATTTCAATTTAATAACATTCTTTTTTTTTCCCCAGTCATTCTTTAATCCAGGAATTTGTAGATGGAACTATCTGCAATAATCTGTGCTTTAAAATTGGAAGCAGTTGATTAAATTTCTATAGATGCCAAATACAAGACACTTGAAAAAAATTTACTGCCCAGAATTTCTAGATACATGCAAAAAATGGAGCCAACATTTAAACGCCTTAAGTCTGAGATTTTTTGTTTAATTTTTTTTCCCAGTGGAAAACAACCTTTACAGGAATACCAAAAAAAAGATCAGGTTTGAGAAATTCCCTTTACTCACTACATTCTTGGTGATCCCGTGTACTGGGAGGTTCATACTGCCAAGCTTTTTGGTTAGAACATGGATCTGCTGCTTTCCAAGAACCCTGAATGAACAGAAGCATAATTCCTGCAAATTCAGGCATGGACTGCAGATGAGGGTCAAAACCCCTGCCTGCTAGCGGTCCCTGCCACAGCCTGAGTCCACTCACAGCCCTTTCCTTGTTGCTGTTGGCTGGGAAGCACAGCCTTATCTTTAAAAGTGAAAAATTGTTCATGAAACTTGTGAATTTCACATCTTAATTCATACTATTAAGTGTCTACCATCTGCCTACTCTTTCTCACAATAGGTACCTCTGCTACCTTGCAGCCATTTCGTCTGTTACTTTGCACACTTTCTTTATCCCTTGTACACCATCTCCACCTTCCTGGCCTTCCATACCATCTACTTGTTCTTTCTTTCTGTTTTATTTGCTTTTTGCTTCCAGGTCATCCCTTATCAGCAGAATAGAAAGAACTCCCCGGCTGCTTCTCTCCTCCTCATATGGATAAGTTGTTTCTGTTTTTGTTTTTTGTTTGTTTGTTTGTTTGTTTGTTTTTATTTAAGCAATGTTCATGCTGATTCATACTCCATATCAACACATATATCTGCAAAATTAAGATGGTAAATCTTAAGGAGCCAAGGAGTTTCTTTAAGCAATTATTAAAACATTGGGTACTCTATACCTGATATAACAGAAAGAATTTTCCTATATTATGTTGTGCTTTTCTTTTGTTAATACAAATTTAGGATTAATTTTTCATACTGCAGATAACCCCCTTGACTTCCACTGTGTGTCTCAGAATCTCAGATTAAACACATGCACAAATACCTTGCAGAAGCTGGTCTGGGTGTGTTAATGGCTTGCATATGAGGTTTATCTTTGACCCTGAAAAAAACTTACTTGTTGACTTTATAAATTCCAGTAGCCCTCTAGGAGAAAAGATATTTGACTGAAGTAGTTTTTTTCCTAAAGCCAGGAATACAGTTAAATAAAAAAATCTACAATACAAACTCCTATGGAAAAGAATTAGTACTGATGAAAACAAGTTATGTACAGCCTGGTACCTGAGAGAGGAAAAATCCCCGAGGGAAACATCACAAGGGCTGGAAACCCAGCCTTGCTGCTGGTGTCCTAGACAACAAGCAAGATCTGATCTACTGGGATCATATATTCCTCCTCATATTTTCTCACTGGCAATTAGATAGTAACCACAGGTTTTTAAGAAAATCTGAGATGACTCAGAAATTCTTGTCCCATTTGCAGTGGTGGGTACCCGGAGCTCTATGCAGGACATTGAGTTCCTGGGATTACATGTAAGCACTTGATTTGTGAACTATTCCAGAGGTCCCTGTAGTAGGTAATCACAATGCTTACATAAAGCATTTATTTCTCTATTAGGCCAAGTGGAAGACAAAAATGCGTACCATGCCAAGACAACAGGAAAAACATTTTGTCTGTGTCTTCTTCTACCTTCATTCCTTCAGGGAATGAAGGTAGAAGACAACAACAAAAAGGTGCTGACAACACCAAAACTCAGTCAAAACAACACGTGTTCTCCAAGCCTGTATATTTGCAAGTGCTTGTGCATGGGCACTGAGACACAGAGGTTTTTTTATTTGTTTTAAATTAATTTTTATGTTGCTCTGGCCACCCTCTTTAATCTCTTAGTACTGCAAAATGGAGCACTGAGCACCTAGTATTTATTCTCAGAATAGGAAACCTCAGATTGTGGCTGAGATATTTACAACAGATGATTGTTATAAACAAGACCATTTGGAAACTAACATTAAACATTTTTCATTCTTACCTTGCTCCCAATTCCCAAAGTGATAAAGAAATAGATTTTATTTCTTCTTTAGGTGTGCTCTTTAGGAGCACACCTAAATAAGACTCAACAAAACAAGACATTTACTAAGCCCCCCTATCTTGATCAGTTTTTGGCCCAAATCAACAATGATAATAATTGTAAAAAAATCTATGGACCTGGGTTGTCCTGTATTAGATTAATGATGTAGTATCTTATTTGTCACAGTAACTACGGAAAAATGCACTTTAGAAAAATATTACAGACCTGACTAAAAAATTCTATAAATCTGTTGCATAGAGAGAAAGTATTAAATACTGGACTGAGGTGATTTAAAATTACTGTCAGCAAAGCCACATGTGTTAATAGAGATGTCAATAACAATAAAAAATAATTAAACCTAAAATCGTAGAGATTTATTTCTAAACTTTAAAAATTATTATTAGTTTTCTGCAAACAATCACACAAAATAAAATCAAAAAATTATAAAGGAAGAAAAGTTGAGTGTTCCCTGGAAAAGCTGAAATTAAAAGAAATAGTTTCCTTTAAAGTGAGATCTATTCCAATGAATGAAGTAAATTTTTATGCTTTGGCAATAATAGGACAAAGTTGCCTGCACATTCAGTGTGTCAGGTTGTATACTTTCAACCATATACCAAAAAAAAAAGGGTTATTTAAAATCATGTTATTTCATCAAAAGATATTATAAGCATGTTTTAAAGATTCCAACAAACAAAAATTATTTTAAAATCTTGTATTTTTTTTTCTCCTGCATAGGAAGAAAATGTATTTTGGTCAGCATAAATTTATGGTAAAAAATTAAATATTACAGTGGTGAATACTCTGAAAGTATTGAAACCCAAAGGATATTATCAGAAAGGCACAGTATCTTTTTATGTTATTAGATTAACATAGCACCATAAAAATTCTATGTACTTCAAAATCTTGACATAAAATATATAGGCATATAGTAATCAACAACAGTTTTTAAGAAGGTGGTTTGTGTTTAAAAGTGTAAAAGTCAAGCTCAGTTTGTGTCTCCATTAAATACATGTTCTGCAAACATATTGAACCAAATTATTTGCTAACTACTGCTGCTATCTAAGATACCTTTTATAATGCACAGGATAGTTCTACCACTCAGAAGGTGCTATAATTTAGTTGGGAGAAATTTTTTAGTTAACCCTGTGAATCATGTTGAGGTGGAGCCTGAATATAACATGATTAAAACCACACACCTTGCCAAACTGTATAAAGCCAAACTAAAATATTGATTTCCAACTCCCAGTCTAATACACACCATCCTATCTATGAAGCTGAACTCATATAAAAGTAATTTATAGAAACTGAAGAAATGTTTAGCACCCAGAAAATATTTCATCTATGAAGCTCCAAATGATTGTCAAGTAGCCACTTCAGGAGTCAGTGACTTCTCCCAGTGGTAAAGCTAAACATTTGACTAGAAACTAAACCTACAGCTCTCCAAATACTAAGGCAAATGCATGTGTTTAAGATTTCTATAGCTTCTCTAAGAACATTTAAAGGCATCAAACAATGTCCAAATGTGTCTTCTTCCAAACATGGAAACTTTTTTTTTAATTTATTTTTTTCTGTTTTTACTGAGCAATGAAGTGAATTTCTCTTTAAGGTGTAACCCTCAGCTACATAAATTTGTAATTTCCACGGGAGTGTTCCTGCAGCAACCAGAAGAGGAAGTTTTCCAAACTAACAATCATTAACTATAGTGCTGCTTCTCTGCATGGACCTGTGGTCTTTAGAGAATACCAGAATAAAGTCTTATTCTCATGCAGTTCTCTGGATCATGCTGCACAAACAGGAACATGCTATATGCACAACTTGCATTTGAAGAATTGGAACAGAACCCTGAGAAAAGTAAATCCATTGGAAAAAAATAGATATTGTTTAATAACACCAGTTTGAGATGTTTCAACCCTTCCTCTGGGGAAAAAAATGACAAACCGGTGAAGCCAATTTTTTCCTCACTAATTACTTGAATTTATCACAATTGCAAACATAAATATAGTTTGGGATTTTAAGTGCGTATCTAGGTTGATTACAACTAGAAATATTTTGTCTGACAATTCTACTCCTCCCCTAGAAATTCAGCATTCCTTAAGTTACCGTAGCACTACTTGTGAGCTTTGAGTTCAAGAACATTCTGGCATGGAGTGATGTTCTTCCAGTCACTGTTGCAGCCGCCTTTCACTCTACGGCAGCAAGGGTGCTAAGTGACTGAGGCTCGGCTCTTTTCAGCCTTGTGTGCAATTCTCATCGTTCCCATGTATCCAGAAGCAAATCTGGGCATATTTGAGAGGAGTTATTCGTACTGCTACATTGTAATCCTGCTGTTCACCATTGATGTCCACCCACTGATGGCCTGAGTACACAGCGATGATCTTGCGTTTCCACTTCTTTTTGTTTGGCTCCTTCAGACGGAGATAGATGCCAGATCCTGTGGAGCCAGGCTCAGCATCACAGTACTGATAAAACAGATCATTGGACTCATCAGAAATGCTACAGAATCTGTAGACCAGCTGCCCAGACCGATCATTGTCAAAACCTGAGAAGTGGATCATGCTCCCAGGCATCATTTTGATTGTTGGGCTGATGCCCAGCTCCATGTATTTCCTTTTATGGGGACGCTTGAGCTCAAGAACAGCATAATCATAATCCAGTGCAATATCCCCAGAGACACCCTTAAACCAGCCTTTCGGGATGTGAGTGCTCTTCACCCGGGTCCACTGGAAGGAGGGCATGCCATCTGAGGTCCCTTGCTTCCTCCCAGATCCCCGCTGCTTTCTCTCATCGCCTTTGGATCGTCGCCTTAATTCTGTGGTGGCTTTGGGATCCTCTTTGGCCGCAGAAATTTCTCTCCTACTTCTTTTAGCACCTTTGCGTTTCCTGCCATTGCCTCTGGATTTTGTCTTCATCAGGCCCACCCTCAGTCTTTTGCTGCCCTTAACATAATCCTTGCCATTGTGCAGGCAGTGGGCTGCTGTTAGCACATGCTTGGGGGAAATGAGAATGCCACTGCAGCCAGTGGAGATCTTCACAGCTGTGTTGAACGGAAAGTTGGTCATAAACCTCTTGTCATAGATGCTGAACCTACTGTCTGTGCCATAGATCTGCCTCTTCTTTCTCAGAGGTCTTTGTGTGGTTGTGTTTGCAGCTGGGTCAGGCACTGCTCCGAGGACATTCACTTCAGTCAGGGTCCGTGTGCCGTTTTCGAAAACAGTCTCATAGGATAAGAGGCTCTTCAAGTCAGACAAGCTTGGCACTGGCAGTTTTCTTTGACATTCAATTCCACATACACTGTTCAGCTCTAATTTGGTTTTTGCTTCAAATTTAGGGCTGTCAAGGGAGAAAGTTCTTTCTCTCACAATCTGGGGAATCTTCTTTAAGTGCCAAGTAAAATCTTGTTCAGTTTCTGTTCCATTACTGAGACCCAGAATAGGTACGAAAATTAGGAATAGCAGTAACATGTGCTCCATTTTATTTTATTTTTTTCTAAAACAAGAAAGAGAGATTTAAAAATACACTTTGGAAATATATACCATTATCTTAATATCTTCTAAGTATAATCATGCAATTTTAGAACTGACATCAGTGGAACAGAATTCTATAATCTGCTCAAAATAGAAGTGCCCCAGATATTCCCTGTATTGCCTCTGACTCTTCCAATCATTTCTAGCAAGATGGATGCAGTTAATTCAGCCAGCATCCATGCTGAGCTACCTACTGGAAGATGAAACCATCTGAATTTTACCTGTTTTTCCCTCAGTGGAGAGTCTGAGTCGTTCCACTTGGTAGAGCATCCTGGTTTTATTTATTTCAAATAAATTTTTGAAATTAAATAAATTTCAAACGTTACATATTACGTTTCTGCTTCTCTTTTCTACAGCTATATAGTTGAAGGTAGAACACACTTGAAAACCCTCAGTGTATTCAAAAGTTGAGATCCAAGCAGAGATGGATAGACATAGTACACTCATGAGACTTAGGAACCCTTGGGAAACCAAACCAAATTTTGCTCTTTCATGTAATGGCCAAAACGTGGCTTTAGCTGACTTAAAAGTCGCCAAAGGTTCTCCATTACCCACCCAGCTGAGAACTGTGAATCTGCCTGTATGAAAAATGGCACTTTGCTAACCACTATCCCAAGGAACCAAGGTCTTCCAGGATAAGACAGAAAAATGAGGAAAGGAGAAGGTTGCTGGTGTAGAGGAGTCTTCTAGTTATATATACATGCAGCAAAGCACAGCCGAGTAGGAGAGACAAGTCTGGTTACTCATCACATGCCTTTTTCAGGATCCCACAAAGGCTGTAGGAACTGTGCTGTCTGTGCCTTATGGTCACATGGGGAATGACCCACCTAGATGGGGTGATCCGCCACACCAAGAGCTAATACTTTAAATGGGAAAGACAAAAAGCAGTATTATTCCCATCTCTAGTTTGGAAACATGCAGGAAAAATGTAACATTGTTAGAAGTCTGAGGCAGAGCCAGAAACTGAACCCAGAACTCTTGATTCTGAACTCAAAACATTACTGAAAAGACCATTTTTCTCTTTTGGCAGCACTGATGTCAGTGGCATTATCCAACTACTGGCAGCTGCCACTGAGAAACCTGTGCTCAGTTCCAACATCCTTCATTCCAATTACATGGAAACCTCAGCAGTAAAGAAAGGGTCTATGATTAAACTTAAAAAGCCAAGCAATTCAAGGATTTGTATGTGGTTAAGCTCTCTGGTTTACACTGCAGTGGCAGTGTAGGCCAGAGCAAACGTAACCACTTTCCTTAATTTTAGTTTAGAATAGTAGAAGTGAAACAGCCTGGCTACAGGCTAACTGAAGGTCTAGCATGAAAAATAGGGGTGTATGGAAAAAGCAGTGGGGAACATTGCCTTCAAAGCTGTATAATGGACCAGTGACTCCTATGATTTTTGAGGCATTTTTACCCTATAGACATATTTGTTGTCTACAATAAGTAATATTTATAATTTTTTAGTTACATAACACTACAGTTCAACCACAGCTTGTTGCTCCTGATGCCAAGAAAAGGCTGGATTTGTTTTAGCATAGTTTTAACACTTTCCACCTCTGCCAGATGGAACACCAACTTTGAGCTGGAGTCCACTTACTAGGAGATATATATATATATATATATATATATATATATATACACCACATTTTACAATACAAGGAAACCCTCCCTAGCTTTAAAGTAGCTAACTCAGGTTTTGGAGAAGATTTCCTAAGACATCTGGAGATTACAGTGACTCACAGATCTGAGCTCCAGGGTGTATGTGGTCATATGGTCATATGAAAAGATATCTGTAAGTTTTGAAAGCAGAGCTGGGGAATCACCCCAGACACAAGATTTTGTAGAGGGACACCAGGTGTTCACACCAGTCTAGTTTATTGGTGTTGTGGTTTGACACGGAAAAAGAATTTTTTCGGAAGGAAGAGGTCAATCCAGTCAGGGGTCAGGTTTGGATACGGTGACCAATTGAAGGTGGACACGCCTCTGAGAACACAGAGGGGTTAAAAGCGGAATTCCCAGGAGGACATGTTCTTCTTTGGTTCCGGTCATTGCAAGGTACGGACATCCCCTGCCCAGCCCGGGCTGGGTGGGGGAGGGGAGCCATGCGGCCTGCAGAGGTAGGCCAAGGGGTGAAGGATCAGAACCGAGCTGGGCCAGCTCCTGCGGATGGAAGGGTGGAGAACATCTGGGATGTCTTTGTTCTCCCCCCACAAACCTAGAGGGAAAGAGATAGGGAGCCAGCAGATACCTGGAAGTTTGCCGGCAGAGGAGAAGGAGGAGGGAGGGGAAGATGCCCAGTGTGGGAGATGGGAGATGGAGTCCTGGGCTGAGATTTCAGCCGTCCGGGGAGTCCGTGACTTTTAACCCTTTCCTGGGAAATGAAGGCTTTGTGAAATATTACTCCTCCTCAATTTGAAGGAAAGAGAGACAGCCTGGGACCTCAGATGTTAGGGAAAGAAGGATGGGGGGAGATGATGGAGTGGCTTTTGGCTGGACTCTGCTTGTTTACCATAGACTGAACCAATCCTTCCTCCAAGAGAGACTGCATTTTAGGGGGATGCAATGGTGAGCCAAGAAACTCCTTCAGCAACTACCAGTTCAGGAATGAACAGAGAAAGCTGAGGAGGGTGTGATGATGCCCTCCGTCTTCAGAGAAGAAGAGAAGGCGATCTCTGTTCTTGGACCCTCAGCCCCAGGGAAAAATGGGGGGGACTGTAGTCCCGAAATGAGACACTGGACTGTTGTTCCTGTTGGTCCTTGGCAAAGCATCCTTAAAGGGGTCCTATAAGCAGTCTCTGTCCATGCACGGTGGTGAGAGCACTGTGACATGGAGAGGAGAATGTCACACTGGCCGGTGTGTCTGGGCGGTGCCACGTGTGACATTGGAAACACAAGAGGTGGCAGCTGTGCTTCCTGCAGGTCTGTGGTGCAAAAGAGACTCCTGTCTCCCCTGATGGACTCAGTATTGATTATGTGGAAGGGTGAAGACTTGATTAAGGGTCCAAATGTGTCTCGCTGTGGTTTGTTGGAGTTGGGTGGTGGGAGGAGGAATGTTTTAAAAGGTTTTCATTTTGAATTTTGCGTGTGTTTTTTTTTTTTCTTCCTTTTTTCTTTTATAGTAGTAGTAGTAGTAGTAGTGTAATAAAGTTTTTCCCTTGTTATTAAGTTTGGTCCGCTTTGCTCTGTTCTTGATCTCATTTCACAGCATTCAATTCATAGGTTGCATTTTCATGGGGGCGCTGGCATTGTGCTAGTGTCAATCTATGTCAATTGGTATAACAGAAATGTGCACATTTAAACATTAACTTTGATATACAAAGTTAACTTTAAATTAGCACTAAATCTGAGGAGGAATTACTATTTTACATGTCTGTGGTGAGCTAGAAGGTGCCAAAAAAATGTTATAATGAGAACATGAAAGTAGCTTCTTGGCCTGACCAAAGGCCTGCCTAAAATCCTGTTTCTGACACTGCCTAAATGTGTTTGCCTAGGGTAGAGGATAGAGACAGGAACAGGGTAACCAGGTATGGCCCTCCTCCCTCACAGTTTCTTAACTTACTTACAACCAGTTGTACCTGGTGGACTTTAGAACAGAGGTAGTTTTTGTAGTGTAAGTAAACCTTACTTAATTCCTCTTTCATAGTTTGACAGTCTTCCTTTGAATACACATATCATTTTGTAGCCATAATATTCTGCATCCAGGAGTCACACATCTTAACTACATGTTGTATGAGGAAGCATCTCCGTGTCCTTATCTCCAGCCTGTCACAAACTAGCATGGTTTGAGGATAAATAATGTATTATTTATGTAGAAAATTGGTTTTAAATTTTCTTTGCCCTAATATAGCTGCTGAACAAGACAGTTCTAATATCAGGCTTGAGAATGACTTTTCTATTTTTCCCTAGAATACTCCTCCCTTTCTCAGTTTTTCCTAAGGGTCTGGCTATTTGATCTTTCTCTGTAGCTGAACTTTGTGAGCCCTAAAGAAAGTTCAGTCACTAACTGCTTGTTCATATAAAAAGTCTGGGTTGGTATCATTCCACTGTGATGGCTGATGTCTTCCCAGATGATCTCATAAGGAAATTTATAGAGAAGTCAATTTTTTTTCTTTCTTCTTTTATAGAGAGACTTTCTGCAAACAAATGGGTGGAGTACTATGGCTCCCTTTGTCACTCTTTAGAAAGAAGAAAACAGTCAAAGCACAGAACCTTCCATAGATGCCTTGGAGCCCTCCATTTGAAACACAATACTCAAGTGCTCACTACTTACAAAGGCAGTCTTGGAAGCCAAATTCATTTATAATGAACCACTTGTCACTGGGAATGAACTAACTACACTTCAGGATAACTGGAAGAAGGTTCAAGGAACTTGATAAACGTGGTAATTCTCATTACAAACCACAGCAGTGGTTCTGCTAGGCAGCTTTGTCATTTCCAGCCATGCATTTAAGATCTGTTTACTAACCCCATCTCTGCTGTTTAGGGGAGGACAAATCCAAGCATGATCAATGTCTGTAGTTGCCATGGCCCAGCACAAAAGGGAAACACAGGGCTCCTCTTGCCAGATGATGAGGACAGAAATGTATAGATGGGTGCAAAGATAACTTTGCAGGGTGGGAGACAGGGAGAGAGAATACAGCCTCCAGGAGAAGGAGGAAATGTCCTGAGAAGGATTCATGCTGACTGCAAGAAAAAAACCCTCAATTACCCATTCTCCACTCTTCCTCCACCCCAAGATGCTCTGCCCTCTCCTTTCCTTCACTCCTTTCCCATACAGATTTTGGGTTGGCTTACAGTAATTGAAATTCTTGAGTCAGCTCTTTAAGATATGATGAATTGGCTTAAGAGAAGACAAGACGGAAACTAAAAAGAGAGAGATCCCCAGCTCTGAATGTTGAAATTCTTCCTCCAGTTTCCAAACTCAGCTGATAACTTTGGTGGCATTCCAGCCACTAGGCATATCCATACAAATAAAACTATTTTTAGTTCTTCTCATTTCTTGCTTCCAACATGAAACCTTTCTGCACCCATAGAAAAAGAAAAAAAAATACTACCTAATTTTTGAGGATATCCTTCAAATATTTTGTCTTACTTTACTCCAGCTGAATGCACTTCAGATGCTCAGGAAAATGCTTATAGTCAAGCTGAACTAGATTAGGTTTCTCTTCAGGCTATCACAGAGGAAATCTACATGCCAGTGTAGCTCAGACAGAAGAACAATGCAGTCCTGCTTCCTGACAGTGTTTTATCTTGGTCTGTTCAGTGCAGCCTCTACCCTGGGGTTTCCTTCTTCTTGTAGAAAAGTTGACACATTTCAAACTAAGCTTACACAATTTTAAATCCATTTTCTAACCCCTAAAATAATAGAGGCTGCTATAGTACCCATCTCCTTTAACTGCTTTTGGCCTTATTCTTGAAATGACCTGGAAGTTGGAATTCGCAGTTCTACTCTGACAAAGCAAAATAGAGAACAAATTTTTGATATCTCACACTCCCTGGAAGAAAACATTGCCCTAATTTTACCCACCACTGCTTTCCCTTCCCTCATCCAGGTGCGCTCACTCTATACGGTGGTGTATGGATATTGTCCTCCTCTCTGATCTGCTAAAAAAAACCCTACTGCGGCTCCCGTCTCTTGCAAAAATTTAGGCAGCTTCAGTACTCATAGGAAGAGCTAATTTTACACGGCAGGCGTGACAGCTCATTTCTGAAATCCCCCGGGCGGGGAAAAGAAAGGACCGCCAGTAAGCGGCGCGGAGCCCGCCGCGGCCGCGGGGCGGCGCTCCCGCAGCGCCGGCAGCGGCTCCGCGCCCGCTCCAGCCCCGCGCCCCTCCCGCGGCCGGGATCGCTCATCGCTCTGCGTTCCCCTCCCGCGGCCGGGATCGCTCCCCGCTCCGCGCTCCTCTCCTGCGGCCGGGATCCGCTCCGCGCTCCCCTCCCGCTGCCGGGATCGCTCCCCGCTCCGCGCTCCCCTCCCGCGGCCGGGATCCGCTCCCCGCTCCCCGCTCCGCGCTCCCCTCCCGCTGCCGGGATCGCTCCCCGCTCCGCGCTCCCCTCCCGCGGCCGGGATCCGCTCCCCGCTCCCCGCTCCGCGCTCCCCTCCCGCTGCCGGGATCGCTCCCCGCTCCGCGCTCCCCTCCCGCGGCCGGGATCCGCTCCCCGCTCCTCGCTCCGCGCTCCCCTCCCGCTGCCGGGATCGCTCCCCGCTCCGCGCTCCCCTCCCGCGGCCGGGATCGCTCCCCGCTCCCCGCTCCCCTCCCGCGGCCGGGATCGCTCCCCGCTCTCCGCTCCGCCGCGCCGGGAGGAGGCGGACGGGAAGGAGGTCGCGCCCAGGCCACTGCTCTGCTGCTAAGCGGCTCCGGGGGTCCAGCCCTGTCAGCCGGACAGCGGGTGGGCACAAACCGGGAACCGGCCAGAGGAACGGCCGGGACGGGAGGGCTTTGCCGGGATGGCCTCCTTCCCTCTGCCCTCTCGGCTTTGCTGGCCGCTACTATGTGTTCGCGCGTGAAAGCCCAGGGCTGTCCTGGAAGAAGAGGAGGATTTGGAAAGTAAGCCTTTATCTCTCCTTAAGCCTTCCCTGGTCCTGCTTTCCGCAGGAGGCTCTGCTTCTCCGCGCCTGGTCCGAAGGAGATTCCCCTCTCTACAAAGCCTGCAAGTCAAATACCTTGGCACGGCTCTTTTATTTTTGCTATTCCAAGACAAATCTGCTTCCAGCAGTGACGAATCTGGATGAAATTAGTGTCAATTCCAGAGGAGCGCCGAGATGGTAGCGCTAATACTGAGGGGATGAATTAGAATTAAAGGAGTTTGTTTTGAAGGGTCAAGAGGCTCCTTGTTTGCTCCCCGCAGAAGGCACAGCACAGACACAAACCCCCAAAAACCCAATAAATATGCCCCTTGCCTCAGTCCCGTTAAGCCGTCTTGTGAAACCGGTTTCAAATATGAAAAAACAAGGACCAGATAAACGCGTGGCGTTTTAGTCCTATCAAAAATACATCCATCAGGCTAAAGAGGCAGGAACTTTATACAAAACATCTCAGCTGCCAATCTCAAGGTACTGACATCGCTCAGCACCATCATTTTTTTAAAAACGACCCGCATAGGAAGAATGACATCGCAAAAAAACTATCACCTTAGATATGCTGGTTATCTCTCACTGGCCGGTCCCCCTCAGCCCCCGTCCCCAGCTCCGCTCCTGCCCACCCAGGTCTCTGGGGGCTGCCTCTTCCCCAGGGACCGGCGCCGGGAAGGGTTTTGGCCATACCTGGCAGCCCGCAGGTCGGACGGAGGCAGGGCGGCCGCAGCCCCGGGGCTCAGGCTCCCGGCTCCCGGCTCCGCGCCGCTCGTCCGCCGCCCAGCGCCCGCGGCTACTGAGGACGGGGCGGGGGGAGCGGCCAGGTCTTCCCAGGCGGGGGAGGGGATGGAAAAAGGAAAAAAAAAAAAAAAAAAAGGGAAAAAAAAAAAGAAAAAGAAGGCGAGAGGGAGGAAGCCAAGGGGGAGGGCCGAGGGGAGCGGAGGCAGATCCTGGTGTCTCTTCGGATGGGAAGGGAAGAGAGGAAGGGGCTCTGCCTGCGGAGCAGGGAGGCACATCGCCCCGGCGGCGGCTTCCTCTGGGCGCCGGGCGCGGGGCCGGGGTGCCCCGCACGGGGATGGGGCGGGAGAGGCGGCCGGGCCGGGTGGCGAGGCGGGGACGAGCGGGGAGGTGGCGGCGCCCCGTCCCAAGGGAAGGGCAGCGCGGCTCGCACCGTGCGCTCCGCTCCACCTGCGCGGGCGGCGGGACCGGGCGGCGGCAGCGGGGAGGGAAAGCCGCTGCCCTGCCCCGCCGGAGCGCTCCCGGGGAGGGCGAGGAGCGGGCAATGGCGTTCCCACGGACCGTGGCCTGCCCGCTCCTCTCTGCCCTCGCCCCTGTCTCCCAGCCCCGCTCCTCCGGAGCGCCTTGTTCCTCAGGGACCCTCCCTGCCCCCCTCCTCTGGACCATTCCCGCTCCTCTGGGCCTCAGAGGCCAGGTGAGAAGCACCTTCCTCCTCTCCTCGTCACTCTTTGTTCCTCTTTGCCTTCCTCCTTTCCGTCTGTGTTGCTGTGGTCTCTCCTCGCCAGGCAGAAAGCTTTGTGTGGAGGTCTCTCCTCCTTGGATCACCCCCTGACACTACAGCAGGGCCCTCCCCAAAGCTTTCCACTGCCACACAAACGCACAAGGTGAAACGTACCCTCACTAAGCAGTTCTGCTAGTGCTTAATCCAAACCCTTCCATTGAGTTCATCTGCTGAAAACTCATTTCATGCTAAATGAAGGCCCATTGATTTGCCAAAACCAGCAGGAAATTTGTGGCATTGCTGGAGATCAGAGTGAGATCTCCAGAGTCCTGCTTCATTGTTTTAATCATAAGCATATCCTTCCCTTAAAAGCCTTGACTTCAAAAACTTAGTGGACCAAATTTATAAAGAGATTGGAGATTAGGCTTTGCCCAGCAAACTGCAGCCTGCAGTTTCATTTTGAAGACTGAGGCTTATTTCTTCAAAATGTAGATTTCATTTGCAATTCTGGGTTTGTTGTTGTTTGTGTGCACAACTTAAAAACAAAGAAAAATAACAATAATATAATAATAATTAATGTGCCAGAGAAAATGACCTGAAGAATTACCAACGCAATTAGCAAGGCAAGACAGAAATGTAGGCAAAGTAGTTAAGTTTTTCAAATGATATATTGAACATGAGAGCTTCCACACTGGGTGAAACCAAGGGCTTTGCTAGACCAATATCAGGTTGCATTACTGAAGGCAGTAGTTCCCTCCAGCACTTTCACTGCCACCAATATTTCAGACTCAGAGACTTTATGAGGCAGGTGCAGTTTCTATGATCTAGTAACCTTCACTGGATTTGTCTGTCGGGTTCTTGCTCATCTTCCCTTTAACCTATATGGATTTGTAGTATCTACAGCCTGGTCTGGTAAAAAATTCTTCAGGTCAAACATATCTTTGTGTGAAATCTTGCCTCTTTTAGTGTCTTTTCAACCTGGCTACTGCTATCTTCATTTGATGTTCACTAGTTCTCTATCATATACTCTGTAACTCCTCTCCTACCCTGAAGAATTCTATTTAAGTTATCTGTGCTTTACATCAAAAACTTTCCTGTTTTCCATCCTATTGCTGAAGTTCAGGGACCAGAGAAGCATCTGAAGGAAGATGCAGCTAAACACTTCTTGGCCGTGGCAAGGAGCAACAGCTTACTCACATTGGGCAGCTGTGTTGAGCTACAGCTGCAGCTAGGGACGTTCAAACTGGTAACGGGGAAAAATTTCTTCACCAAAAGGAACATGCAACACTGGAACAAATTACCCAGACAGGTTGTGGAATCACCATCCTTGGTGGTTTCCAACACTCAGATAAACAAAGCTACAGCTGATCTGACCTAGTGTTGTTGGCAGTAATCCTGCTTCAATGGAAAGGTTGAGCTGGATGACCTGCAGAGGTCCCTCTCAACCAATATTTCTATGATTCTTTACCTATACAGAAGATGCAAGCAAAATATGGATTTTTGTGGCAACAAAAAGATATTATTTATTTTGTTCTTGGCTGATTTCTTAATACTTACTAGTACTTTTAAAATTTATTTTATATTTTTAATCTGGTGATCACCAGGCTGATGTTCCCATAGGGCCATTTTCATAACTCCAGGACTCTTTTTCCTAAGAAGTAATGACCCGACCAGATCTTGCCATTTCATATCTGAAGTGAGGGCCCTTTTCCTCTTGTGGAACGCTTTGTATCTACACTCAACTCCACTGCAATTTTATTGCACGGTCACTCCCATAAACTTTCCTGCACATAATCAAGGTCATCTCATCTTTATTAACCTAAATAATATCCTCATCAGGCTTTGTCACTGACTGCTCCTCTCTTTTCCAGACCATTTATGAATATGCTGAATAGTGCAGCACAAAGCAGGTTGTTATTGGTAGCCTATCATCCTTTGTAAAACTGATCCCCCTTACCCTATACTTTCTTTCTTGTTTTTCAGAAAATACAGATGCTGCAGGTTCATTTCTGTTTGTTGAACTCTGGGTCATGGGATCAGTGTGCTTTCAACCTATCAGTTATTTTAAACCATTTTTTCTTTAATTCTGTGTCATAGTTTAGCCCCAGCCAGTAACTAATCCCCCTCACAGGTTCTCACTCACTCTCCCCACCACAGTGGGATAGGGAAGAGAATCAGAAAAAGTTAAAACCCATAGATTGAAATAACAACACTTTAATAATTGAAATAAAGTAGGACATTATGGGAACAATAACCATAACAATATTCACAGTAAGAAAAATGGAGATATCAAAAAAAAAAAAAGAAAAAGAAAAAAAGAGGAATAAACCTCCAGAAAGACAAGTGATGCACAGTACAATTGTTCACCACCCACTGACTGAAGCCCAGCCCAGTCCTGAGCTGTGATCTGCGCCTCCCAGCCAGCTCCCCCCAGTTTATACACTGGGCATGACATTCTGTGGTATGGAACATCCCTTTGGCCAGTTCAGGTCAGCTGTCCTGGCCATGCTCCCTCCTGGCGTCTTGTGCCCCTCCTCACTGACAGAGCAGGAGACGCTGAAATGTCCTTGACTCAGGGTAAGCACTGCTGAGCCACAACTAAAATATCAGTGCGTTACCAACATTGTTCTCATACTAAATCCAAAACACAGTTTTTACCATCAGATTTTTAGCCTGGATTTGAGTGAATTCACAGAACTTTTGTATTCTTAATTTGGGGTAAGTAATGCACAAAATGGGTTACAAAATGCTTCCAAGTAAGATTCTGTTGGATTTTTTTTTTTTTTTTTTTTTTTTTAAGGTAGAAATCTGATATAAGAGCTTCAATTTTCCCTGCAGGGAACATACACTGAGCATGGATGTAGTGGCTGGGCAGCTGCTCCTGGAATGTCATTTGGCCCTGCGGTGCTGGATGAACACGTGGGTCTTGCACACATCCAAAAAATATTTGATCACAGCACAACATGCCTTGTCTGCAACCTCTGAATTGTACTCCTTGTACTGCACCTACCCACAAAATATTCTTTCACATGTGAATTAAGGGAAGACAGGCAACACAGGAAAACTGAAACAAGGTTCATGGATGTAAAAAGAATGCAAATGCCTATAACCAAATTAAAAGTTATTGTATTATCCGCAAGAAGTCAGCTTTAATCTCTTCCCTTTTTCTCTTCAGATCTTCTTCTACTTATGTATACAAGCACCCATGTGCTTTATTCCAAAACTAATGATTACTTGGGTAGAGCAGGTAACTCCCTTTTCTTCTTTAATTCTCAAGTTGAAGCTTGTGGGTACTCTTCCAGCTCAGCTGATATATGTTTTCCTTCCTTTCTACTTTTCTTATCCCAGGCAGATTTTTGGTCCTAGACTATTTTTAGTGAGTTTTAACACTTATCCAATTCCCAAACTCTAAACTTGGGGTAACTCATTGGCTCGTGATGAATGAACGTGAGATATTTCCTACTGCTTTCAGCACAAAGGGATGTGAAATACAATGGATATTTCTTACAGGATCACGAATAGTCTCCATGGTAGTGTCTCTTCTGTGGCAGCCTGTTGCCACAGAGGCCCTTTTGTTTTGTGGACCAGTGGGGTTGTTTATTGTGCTGTTCAGAGGTGCCTGTGACACAGTGCTGACCAGTTAGACTGAAACCCTGAATGAAACAGGCCTCTGTTAGAGACCCTGCCTTTGAGAACTTGAAAAAGATGCAAAAACTGGAATACATCGTGTAATTGTTTAACAGTGCACACAATGGGGACAGAGAGGATGACAAACAGCGTTGCTAGCTCTCCTGAAATGCTAGAATTCAGGAGAATTCTGCATAGACCAATGGACTATAGCAGTACAGTGAGGTATCCACTTAGAATTGGATGTTTAAAGTACTGTGGTGCCAGATCCATGGAGGTTAGCAATGAGCGCACTGTCATCAACACAGGAATTTACAGATGACACAAAGGAGGGATGTGAAAGTTGAGGTGTCTAATTGTGACCTGATTTTTACAATATGGGTTTAAGAACTAGCTATATGGCTAAGTAATAGATGTGAAAAAAACCTCACTTTGTAGCAGTGCAAAAAGAGGAAATCTCATCTCTGAGTTAAACATGTATCAAGTTTGTGATCAAATCAAGCAGATGCAGGGAGCTCTGAGCAACCTGGTCGAGTGAAAGGAGTCCCTGTCCACAGCAGTGTGGTTGGAACAGGATCATTTTTAAGGTCCCTTCCAACACATGATGTTCTCTGATTCTACCATTTTTATTTCAGTGAGTCGGCAAGAAAAAATAAATGTGGTTCTGCCTCAGTATATGACCTACAGGAGAGATGCTTTTCTAACAGTGCAGAAAGTAATCAGTTAATAAACCAGCCACCACCCAGCTCCTGACTTTTAGCATATTTTTATGTCCCTCTAGGGCAGCAGTTGAAAATGAAGATGGACAGGCTCACTGTTCTAACATTTGTGCATTTTGTAGAAAAGCAGAGTTGATTGCCCACTCATCATTACTAAACAAACAAAACCTACAATTCTTACCTGATATGTAATGTCCTGGAAATTATTTACATATATACATATACACATATATTGTTCACTTCATATCTATATATATCTAACTTTCACTTTACATATATATATAAAGTGAACATTTTCCTTAAGGAAAATTTCCACAAGAAGAGGAACTCCTGGAGATGTGTCAGTTGGCAAATATTTTTATGCATGCAATGTGTTGGCAGGTTGCAAGCAGGTACTGTTAAGGAAAAAAAATCCAACCCACACCATTTTTGTGAGCATAGTACTTTGAAGGAAATAGTTTCCTCTGACTGGCATTCCCATTGCACGGCCCATCAGGAGCTTTGCTGGAAATTCAGTGAATTACAGATGCTAATGCAGCATACCATGATATGGATAAATGACATATTGATGTGAGGAGAAAAGAAGTGCATGAACAAAGACTCTGAGAAGCTTTGGAAGAAACCCCAAATTTGCCTGGCTAAAGCTGGATATTCATCCCCTCCCCAAGCCTCTAAACTCCTATAATGGAAACAGCATACCACAGAGGAAAGTTAATAGAGTGACATTGACATGTTAGATAAAATTAGATTTTAGCTACCTTCGGCATGATCGACCCAAGAGAGGGGAAAGAGAATCCAGGGAAAGATGAACTGGCAAGGGACATGGCACCTAATATCACTGTTCAAACCAGCAGAGAGTGAGTGGCAGTGAAATGCACATCTTAAAAAGTCTGAGAAATCAGAGGAATGAACAGCAATATGTTACTGGAAAAAATGTGACATTCAGCATAAAACTGAGTTCCAAACAGAGTATTCAACTTCCAAACAGAATATTGAAGCAGTATTCCTCCAGAAGTATGGACAAAGTAGGGAAACATGGAGTAACAGAAATTGCATTTAAAAATACATTTAAAAACGGGATATTGGCCCTAATTCATGGGTATTATGGAGTACAGTCTTTATTGTCAGTGTTAACTGAAGGTAATCATAGACCATTTACTGCCATTGTAAACATGCCCAGGAGACCAGGAGAGTACATGACTAATTTTTCAACTATAGCTGCATTAATTTAAAATTAATACAAACATGAGAGGAAAAAATACACTTAAAAAGGACCATTTACTAAACCACATTCCAGAATGTTCTTTCATTACAAGGCTAATTTTTTTTTTTTTTTAATTCTTAGGAAAATGTAGGTATCAGATCAGATCAGAAGGAAACCTGTTGACACTGTTTAAAAATTCCATTAACAAGCTTGAAATAGCTGGATATTTCTGCTAAAATTATTAACAGTGTAATAACTAATAATGGTGGAAATTTTAAGGTTTCACTTTAGACTTCAAACTTAAGCTTCCGCTGAAATGAACACAAGCATTTTAGATATCTCAGAGCCATAATTACTGGGAGGAAAACAACATTATATTGAGTGACAAAGCCCGTGGTGAATATGGCATCAGGGTTGCTAAGTATGCCCTGTTGCCACACAGATAAATGCACATTACCTTTGTGCCTCTGAAGCTGGCATGGAAAACTAAGACTAAATAGCACCCAGGACATGTTTTTAGTGCAGTCTCCCATCTTCTGTTTTGCACCTCATGTAGTTGTCTTCTGTGTCTTCGTGTTCATTCATTTATTCTCCCCTATGACCACCCCTGTGTTAGGCAGGACTGGGTCACGTTGGTAACAGGGAAAGCACAGCTGCAGCTAAAGGTCTTTAGGGGGATCTTTCTTGTGGGTAATACAGGAGATGGAAGTGATCACTCATAACCATCCTTCTTGGATCACAAAGCCTCTGCATATTTCAGATAGTTTTAAAGCTGCCTGTAGGTTTTCAGTTTGCTGCTGGAATCATTTCCATATGC